CGGGAGGCGGGCCCGGCCAAGCCAGCCTCGTCTGGAGGGGGCCCGCCCCACGCCGTGCCGCGTGTCGGAGGCCGGAAGAGGTTCACAGCGGAGCAGAGACTGAAGTCGTACTCCGAACCGCAGAAGATGAACGAGGTAGGGCTCTCGGGGGACTGCGGCTCGCACCGGCCCCCCAGGAACCCCGAGGACACGGTGGGCACATTTGCTGACAGGTGGAAGTTTTTTGAGGAAACGAGCAAACCTGTTCTCCAGCGGCTGGGCCAAAGACAATCTGTGAGTGGACCCCCGAGAGAGAAGACGGAGAGGCCTCGGACAGCGGGCCACGCGGGAGAAGGGGCAGAGCCCTGGTCCCGGAAGAAGTCTCGCGCCACCTCCTTCGGAGAAATCCTCACTGGTTACGGGAAAGTGGAGAACCCGGGGAAGTTGGAGCCACCACAGAGACTCGGAACCTTTGCAGAGTACCAAGCCTCTTGGAAGGAACAGAGGAAGCCTTTGGAAGCCAGGAGCTCTGGGCGGTGTCACTCAGCTGACGACATTCTGGATGCAGGTCTAGACCAGAACCAGAGGCCGCAGTATGTTCATGAACGGTCCCGGTCGTCACCTTCCACGGACCACTACTTGCAGGTAAGCCCCGCACTGTGAGCCAGGTGCACACTCCCACGTTAGGGTGGCTCCGATGGTGCTACAGGAGCCCAGCCATCCGCGTGCCTACGGCACCAGTACGGCGCTAGGTGTCAGGTGCTGGGTGGAATCTGCTCGCATGGTGATTTTAAGGGCCAGCTTCCTGCAGACCCAAAATTTCCCTTCCCAGTCTCCCCGTCTTGATTTCTTCCTTTATGTACTCTTTTCCCCTGTGACTAACTTGCTCCTACCTTCATGCCAAGCAAACGATGTGGTAACTAACTCATCTGAGGTAAAACTGGGTGGTGCTTCAAGGCTAAACATACTGTGAGCACTATTTTTGTTGTTGAGGTTCTGAGGATTGAACACAGGACCTGCCTAGTACTTGCTTTGTCTTGAGACAGGGTCTCACTGAATTTCCCAGGATGGCCCCAGACTTGCAGTCCTCCTCCCTCAGCCTTCTGAGTAGCTGGGATTACAGGTGCATGGACCTGGCTGTCTGGAATACAGGCGGTCCTCGGCCCCCTGCCCTTTTTGTGGCAGTGGTGCTGCTGCTGCTGCTGCTGCTGCTGCTGAGGATCAGATCCTGGACATCACTGAACTAGGCAGGTTCTCTCCGACTGAGCTACACCCCCGGCCCAGCCACTTCTCAAGTATTGATGCCAGCCAATGACTATAGTATATTTTACTCCTTTTAAATTTGCAGGTGTTTTTCAGCATTGTGCTGGAACAAGCTATCTTTTAAGATGGGTTAAACTGTTGCACTATTTTAGGATGACAGTTTTGATGGTGACAGTTAAAGATTTCTAGAAAGTACATTTTTTTTTTCCTGGCACTGGGAATCGAACTCAGGACCCTGCGCATGCCAGGCAGGTGCAACACCGCCGAGCTACACCCCCCACCTGAAAGTACATATTCTTACAGTCCTGCGGAGTCTGTGGTCTCTGTCTGTCTCTCTGTTTCATTCCCCTTCCCTCCTTCCTCGTTTCCTTCCCTCTTCCTGTCCTTCTCACTGCCTTTTCTCCCTCTTCCGTCTGCATTTGATTATTTCTACCACCCCAAGCACAAAACCCTGCTGCAGTCACAAAGTCAGTTTCTAATGAAGAATCAGTAGATGCCCTTTTTTGGTGATGGTGGTGGGTTTTGGTACAGGGTCTTGCTTATGTTCTCCAGGCAAGACTTGAACTCACTGTGTACCCCAAGTTGGGCCAGAACTTGTGACTCTCCCGCCTCGGCCTCCTGAGTGCTGGGATTATAGGCACGTACCACCGTGTCTGGCTGGCAGTGACTCTAATATAAAGTATCTACCATGTGCAAGGAGAGCTGTCTGTTTGCCCAGTGGCATCTTGTGCCACAAAGTCACGCAGACCCTGCATGAGCTTGTCCCTGCCATTGCCTGAGGCCAGTTCCCCGTGACCTGTGAGGATTCCCCGCTGCTCATTCGCCTGGGAGTGCAGTACCCACACCTCCGACAAGGCCCAGGACGGGAGGTCTCCCACAGAGGCCTGTGACCAGCTGTCCTCGCTCTGATTTCTTTTGGTGAGTTGTGTCAGTACATGGCCTTGCAGCTGCGTGTAGGAGCCGATTCCTGCCTGGAGTAGAAGTGTGTGCGGGGTCCTAGGCCATGTGTCTCCCTCCATAAGAGGCGTTGTGGAGCCAAATGGGCTGGGTCTGCGTACAGGCCAGTGGGACACGTCACTGGCACTGAGGCACAGGGGCAAGGAGAACCCACAAATTGAGGGCTTTCATAATAACAGATGTCTCGGGAAGGCAGCCTGAGGGTTTGGTGTCTCATGCTGCTGTCCTTTGCAGGAGGTGTCTGCTGGACCTCAGAGGCAGGCGGTGGACCCTGGTGGGCACAGCAAACCACCTCCCACTGCGGCCTCTACCCGAGAGACATGTTCTACTCCGAGGTAGGTAACTTTTGCATTTGGGCTCGCTGCGAAGGTGTCTCGGGGGAGGGTGAATGCTGGCTTACCACAGCCAGATGTCTTGGTTTTGCCAAGCCCCACGTGGCTGCTAACCGGGCACGATTGTAGGCACTGCTGTCCCCCAGACTTCGGAGCAGAGACCTGTGCCTGGCAGCCCTGTCCAGAGAATCATTGCCGTGGCAGTTTCAGTTCTTAAGTGCCCTCTGTGTTTTCTGTGCAGTGAGACACTTTCTGGGGACAAGACTGAGATACGGGTTTAACATGCTTGAGGTTTTCCCGAAGGGAGGGATGCTGGAGTACCTCACACACAGCCACCCTCGTGGGTCCGGGTCTCAGATCTGCCGTTGCTGCTAAGGATTGTCACTCCGGAGAGGGAGAAGGCCACCCTTCCTAATTTGGACTTATTTAGTAAGTTCATTTTAAACTTCAAAGTAGAAGCGAAGTCATTTGACTCCCCAGAGAGAGGTGAGAAGTGTGGTGGAGGCCGGGAAGCACCGTGTGCCTGCTGTAATTCCGAAATGTGGCAGGTGTCACGGGAGCTGCGAGGGTGGGGTTTAGGTGAAACGCAGGGTGTTCCCTGGCCATTCCCACCCGGTGCAGGCAGGAGAAGCGTGCGTCTCCGCAGAGCATGTGTTGTGACCCTGCTCTGCACATGTGGGGGACTGATGGCAAGAAGTGTGCTCGCCAGAGTCCCGCGTGGAGCATTCTCTGCTGCTGCCTCGAGAGTCTGCTACAGTTGGTGGGGTCCACTGCAGAATGACCAAGCTGGCTGTTTACTTCCAAGAGCCTTTGGGAATGGGGTTTTCTTTCATTTGGCTTTAAACTGAATGCTGCCAGCCTTATAGGAAAGTAGAGATATTTCTGTGATGCCAAGGCGACAGGTTTGGCATCCTGTGTGTGCCTGTGTTGAAAGCCCTGCAGTTGCTTAACAGGCTGTGCAGCTACACAGAATGTCACAGTGAAAGGTAGAATGCAGAGGTGGCTGCCTGCATGCGTGTGTAAAGGGCACTGTCAATACTGAAAGGATCCAGGGGACAAGAGGAGGGACCATATACTTTATCTAGCATGGCTGTGTCCCCCAGCAGGCTGTGCAACTACTGTGAAGAAATTAGTTCCAGAAGCTTTCTGTGTTTAAGGTACAAACCCAGCAATTTTCAGAATTGTGTGTGTGTGTTTCAAGAGTGGCAAGTCCCAATGAAGTTCTAGAATACAGCTGTTAAAAAGTCCTTTTCAGCTTATCCCAGGGACTGTTTCATTTTCTGAAGGATCAGCGAGAAAGAATACGCTTCAACAAGTAAGCGAGAGACTTAATAGAAATGAAAATGTAGGCAAAAGATTGTTCTTTGTTCGCCAAAAAGTCTTTAATGCAAAGAATGAAAGGCACTCACTGTTGTGCACAAGTTTAAAGTAAACATGTCTGTGTAATGAATAGATTACTGATCTGGTGGTGACTGATGTATTATAATAAAAAGTGCTTTTTGTTGCATTCCATTGGAATAACAGGAGAATACTGAGATCAGAATTATTTTGTTTGCTGGCTTTCATCCAAGTCAAATGGAGGTAACATTTTCTTAAGGTTTAATCGAGGTCGGGAAAGAATGATGCAGCTATTTACATCTGAAGAGCTGGCACAGAATTATAAAAATTAGGCTGCGTGTAGGAGACTGAGGCAGGAGACCACCCTGTCACAGCGAGACCTTGTATCACACTAAAAGGGGCCAAGGGTGTATCTCAGTGGTAGTGTCCTTGCCTAGTGTGCGTGAACCCCTCAGTTTCATCTCTAGTACTGAAAAACCACAGTTACACTGGGGCTGGGGATTTAGCTCAGTGGCACCGAGCCTGCCTTGCAAGCACAAGGGCCTGAGTTTGATCCCAGTACCTCACACGCACACACAAAAGTTACATGGTGGGAAACCTGTGGTAGCTGGGCTACGATAAGCCTGAGTTTTTGGGAATGGACCCAGTGGCATCTGCTCACCTGTGGTGTGTCCCACCCTGCGCATTCCGCCTTCCCTGTTCCCGTTTTACCTGTTCATAGGCCTTTCCCCTGTAGCACTGATGGTTTTCCGATTCTGCTCCTTGCCCTCCAGCTCTTGCACATGCGTTCTCCTGCTGACATGGGGCCCTGCCATTGTGGTGTACACAGGCACCCTGGAGGGTGGAGATCTGTGTTCAAGGTGCAGTCAGGGCTGCTCCTCCTGACGCCTCTCTCCTTGGCCTCTGCACGTGGACTTCTCCCCACGTCCTCACGTGCTTGCCTGTCCCTCTGGATATGTCTGCGTCCTGACTTTTCTTGGAAGGACACCAGGCAGTTTATATTGGTGATCTCGTTTTACCTTCGTCACTGCCTCTTAAGAGTTCACCTTCTGAGAGGCAGTGCGCTGCACTAGGACAGTGGCATGCCCAGCGCACTGCAACAGCATGGGGAGGATGGAGACTCTTAGGCCCATGTCATGGAGGCATTTGCCACGCTCCTTTTCTCTTGGACTTCCTGGGAGACCAGGACTTTACTTCCTGCATTTCTTAGTAGTTTGTATCTAGCATAGGTCCTGCACAGAGGGTGGGTTGGTTGGATGGCTATACTGGTCCACAAATAGGTGGATGAATGAACACATGGATGGCCAGTCCTCAGATGGGTGGACACATGAATGGTTAGGTATGTGGATGGATTGGTGGCAGGATGGATTGGTGGCTGGGTGGATTGGTGGCTGGGTGGGTGGAGAAGTGGATCAGTGGATGGGTGGGTAGATGGGTTGGTGGGTGGGTGGGTGGATAAATGGGTGGATGGATTGGAGGGTGGGTGGGTGGATGGATGAGTGGAAAGATGGCTGGAAGGATGAATAGGTAGACAGATGTATGGACAGATGGATTGATCGGTGACTTCAACCTTTCTTGAGTTAGTCTTTTTCTCTTTTAGTACTAAAAATTGCATTCAGGGCCTCAAGAAATCCTTAATACTTAGCCCACATTCAGTGCCAAGTAAGCACTGCTACCACTGAGTTACATCCCCAGCTGTTTTTATTTTAGTTTGAGATAAGGGCTTTCTCAGTTGCCCAGGGTAGCCTGGAACTTAACAATCCTCCTGCTTCAGCCTCCTGAGTACCTGGGATTCCAGGCATGTGCTACCGTGCAGTCCCTGATGCTGGTGAATAATGATTCCATGGGGATAGTTTCTGTGTGTGTGTGTGCAGACGTTTACGTATGCTTTTAGCTTTAGCTTACATGCTAAAAAGTAGAATAGGCCTGACTTGGTCTTTTTGCACTTGATTTAGAATCAAGAAGACAAGCACCTCAGAGGTAGTCTGGTAGCATGGAGTTGTGTTTTAGTATGGTAGTTTAAACCTTGTAGCAAAACTTAGGTGTAGTTTGATTGTTGCACTTCAAACTGGAGCACTTCTGGGAGGCTCTGGAAATGAGCTGAGAGCAGCTCTGGCAGGCCTGTGGATGGCGGGGGTGCCTGCGGGGTTTCATTCTTCTCTCCCTACTCCAAGCCCATTCTGCCTCATCTGTAGGAGCTGCTGTCAAGCACCAAGGGTCTGGCACCGGCCTCTGGGCTTCTATTTGTCAGGACAGCTGTTTGGGAAGGGAGAACGCATCCTAGACCCGGGTATAGCCACAAGACTGCATATGGAGGAGTTTGCTTTAATAGGAAACTGATGACCCAAAGCAAGCTGAGAATTGTCCTCTTGATGTTTTCCCTGAAAGGTGACTTGATGCACAGAGGTTAAAATGAAGGCTGGTGTTTTTTGTTTCGTTTTGTTTTTCATCTACCAAACCAGCTTCTGCCAAGTAGATTTCAAAATAAGTAACAGAGATTTATCGTGCGGTGTTGGTTGCTTCAGGGCAGACATTTCCTCCCCTGGCCTTCAATTAGCTCGGGAGCACTTGAGGCTTTCCACTCTGAACTGCTCTTCTGGGTAATTACGCGGCCCTGCACTGCGCTGTGGGCCGTGAGGGCGCAGGCAGAGGTGGGGCTCGGCCTTTCCTGGGACAGAGCCAGCAGTCCCCCGCACCCGTATCCTGCACCCCGTACCCTGCACTTCAGGCAGAAGAGCAAGCTCTTCTGAGCAAGGGACTCTTGTGGATGCAGCACTGCTGTCCCAGAGACCCTGAGCAGCAGCCTCAGGCAAAAGCGGCAGCACGAGACTAGCAGGTTTGTTTTCATGTCTTAATTTGCCACTACAGCACATCCCCTCCCTGCTCTTTCTGCCCAGTTGGACCTCAGCATCTGGGAGCCAGAACAGGCAGCTGCAGGTTTGTTGACTTGTTGGTTTCGGTCATGAGACAGCATTGTTCAGAAGGAAGAGTAAGGCCACAGCGCAGGACAGCGGGGTTTGGGGCTGGGGAGGAGAAAGCGGGACCCGGGAGCTGGACAACCAGAGCACTGCGTGCACCCCTGGAAAGGTAGGGGAGACTGGGGAACTGTGTGGAATGAGTGCTCCGGCTGAGGGAGGAAGGGGAGTGTGGATGCCCATTGGATTCTCACAGCTGAGTGTGAGGTGGGGCAGGGATGTGTAGGCTTCTGGGGTGGAATAGCCCAGGGCAGCCTCTGCCTTCTGCTTGGACTCTGCATTGGGGAGCCATCACTGCAGTCTGTTTCATCCCTCCCGAGACTTCTGGGTTATGGCCGGCCTGGTGCTTTCTTTCCTAGGAGAACCTATAGCCCTGGGGAAAGCTCCCCTTTAGCCACCTACGAAGTCTGGAGCCATGACGCCCTCTGCTGGGACAGAGAGGCCGCATTGGCTCCTGGTAAGAACTGACTGCTTCTTTCTGTCCTGGTCCCTGTCCTTCTCCACTGACTTCTTTAGAGTCTTTGCACTGAGCTACATCCCCAGCCCTTTGTTTTCTTTTGAAATAGAATCTTAATTTCTCAGGCTGGGCTTGAATTTGTAATCCTCCTGCCTCAGCCTCCCCGAGTGCTGGGATTATAGGCGTGTGCCACCATGACCCTTGCAGACTACAGTTTTCAAAGCTTTCATTCT